AATTATAAAAGGACAAAGAAAAGTATCGGTACATGTTACATCGTGAAACTATATATAATATCGGTACAATGAAGTTTTTTTATTAATTGTGAAACGGGACATAAAAAATTTATCATTATCGGTATATAAGCGATCGGTACATAAAGGTGCTCAGGCATATAAAATATAAATTAAAAAGAATATAAATGATTCAGCCATAGTAAAATATGATTATTGAGGAATGGAAACTATCGTAAGTCTGGAACATAATGATATGGATAAAACACATGATTATTTTAAAGATATTTCACTTTATTACTAAAGAATATAAATTCATCTCAAATCTTGACGTGCAATAACAGGAATATTTTTTTACTTGGAAAGTAACAGGTTATTTAGCTATAATTTTTCTTCTCACGAAGATTTTGTGAAATTAATAGTCGTAACTTATTCCAAAATAAGCTGTGAATGGTTAAGAAATTCGCAAATGTAAGGCTTTCCAAAACAAGCCGTATATGTTCTTAAACACTTAAATTCATAGAAGGTTTTATTTGTATAAAATTTTTAAGAAAAAACGGTATAGAACACGTTTTACGTTAACGATATATTTTTTTCAAAATTTATCATTAAATGGCTTTACTCTTCTGACGTACCAAATCGGGTCTTAAATGATTCTTAAAATTTATTAAAACGTGTTCTATTATTCTAAATTGGATTGTAAATGGATCAACCTAATTGATCGATGAGAGAAAATTTTTTTAATATAAAGGCATATCAAATACGAACCCTTTCAGACTAAAAACTTCAAAAACATATTTCACTCTTAAAGAAAAAAAAATCTAAAATAATCCAAACTTCAAATATATTATAATATATCGAGATGTCCTCAGAAGTAAAGATTGGTAGTTCAGTATACAGATACTGTGATGGAAATACAGATCTTAAAGTTTTAAGTACAGGAGTTGGAGCAAAAGCTGCGGCAAATGCTACTGATGGCGTCAAAGCTAAGCTTGAAGTGGGTGTTGATTTGGTAAATTGTGAATCAGGAGGCTTTAAATCAAGAATTGGACTCAATGCTGACACGGGAGGATCAATTGGCCCTAATGGTATAGAGGCTAAGGTTGTGGGTGTTGGTTTTAAACTTGGTAGGGAAATGGGTTTAAGTACTCCTTTTGGAGAAGTATCATTTAACTTATTCTAAATACTTTCATATGTTTTAAAATATATTGTATTTAGTTCATCTGTTGTTAACTTATCGTAATAACACCAGTAGTATTTTGATGTTTACTCATGTCCATATTTGTTATTTTTCTGTTAATAAAGACAAGTTTTATTATTATTACATTATAAAAATCATTTTCTTTCCGAAATATAAAGAGGTAAAAGTGACTTTCGAATTTTTTATTAACAGCTGTACGAATGGGTGTATTTTCTATAAGTTTAGTAGTATAAGTTTAGAAAATTACCTCTGATCGTCATGTGATTTGCCTTTGTTTTATCGACTTTGATGTAAAATTTTATTCGTAAATAATATATTAAAATATTTTTTATAATAAATATATAATAATACATTCAACAAATATGTCACATAATTATATAAATATTATTTTACATCTTTCCGACCAAAATAATCATAAAATATGTTTTTTTTTCGATAATACGACAATATTGAATGGTATTTTCCCCACAGAGTATGTTAAATAAATAAAAATAATAGTTATATAAATAATTTTTGTATCACGTAATACACAACATCATAATTAAAATATAATTTATAGATTAATCTAGATTAATCTTAACCTTATAATAGTCCGAAAACAACTATGAGATATGCGTGACGTCGTGACATATTTTTATTTTTTTTTTTATTTCAAATAAAAGCGAAGAATAACAGTTACTAATTTCTAAAAAGTTAGTAAAAGAATACATAAAAAGCGCAGCAAATACCCAATCCGGTTAACAATATATGTAGATCACAATCAAACTAGACTTTACTTAATTTGTTTAAATCAAATTAGATACTTTAATTAAATAAATAATTGATAGCCATAGTCATACCACATTTTTACGCCATCCGTCAAACTTTCTTTCCTTTTAAAAATTGTCGTAGAAATAATGTCAAGACTATGCAATGATATAATTATATTAATATTGGAAGAATTACAAGATGATGTTAAATCTTTATATTCATGTCTTTTAGTTAGTAGAACTTGGTGTAAACTGACGGTACCAACTTTATGGAAGAACCCTTCTAAACAATGTCGTCTAACCGATAATGCACGTAAAATTTTATTTAATGTAATAATTTCACATTTATCAGAAGAATCAAGAAATAATTTGAAAAATAAAGAAATTGATTTTTTTTATGAAAAGTATCAAAGACCTTTATTTAATTATATTAGTTTTTGGAGGCATTTAAATTTACATTTTTTAGAATATATAATGAATATTTTTATAAAAAATTTTGAAATATCTAAAAAATCTATTATAGGAATTGAAATAATGAAATTATTTATTAATAGTGAAACAAAATTTGTTTCACTTTTTATTCCAAAAACAAATTTTTGTCATATTTCAGGGGATGAACATTGCTTTTCAGAAATTGAATACCTTGGTTGTGATTATAATGATATCAATAGTAATATTTTGGAAAGATTGGCTATAATAAGTACTTCAATTAAAGTATTGGGTTTTAATTATAAGTACAATGATACCATTAGTCATGGAATAGTTAAATTAATTGAAGTTCAAAAAAATCTAAAAGGAATCAATTTCGTCTCAACAATGCCAAGGAATAAACCATATCGTAAAGCACTTGAAGAATCGATAATCAAATGTGCAGATACTGTTCAATATTTGAAAATAAGTTGGAGTCCTGTTACAAAATTTCTTTCATATCTTGTAAATTTAGTAAGATTAGAAATAAAATCTACTTGCGACTCAGATTGGAATCATTTAATTAATGTATCTTTACCTTGTTTAAAATTTTTAAAAGCTCAAAATATTCCACCAATTGTTTTAGAAAATTTAATTGAAAATACAAAAGGTTATCTTATTGAAATTATTATTCTTTATCGAATTGAAGATGATGGAAAACTTATTCGAAAAATTTATCAAAATTGTCCAAATCTTAATTATCTTAAATTAAAATTATCAAATAATGAATTTTTAGAATTTAAAAATTTATTAATTAATTGTCAATTTTTAATTGGATTAGAAATTATAGGTTATACTATTGATTGGGATAATTTACTTGAACTATTGAAATTTTCATCTATTAGTTTATTTAAATTTAAATTTACTGCTTATTTTGATATTTGGGAAGATAATTTGAAACATTTAAAATTATTTCTTGATAATTGGAATGATAGACATTCTATGTTATTACATATAACAACTGCAATAAGATTTTTAACTCTCAGGCCTAGAAGACAACAACAACAACAACATGTTCTAAGGCAAAGATTAAAAGAATTATTACAAGAATATAAAGTAAAAAGTATAATTAAAGATTATAATATTGATGGATTTGGTTTTAAAGAATTTGAATGGAACAAATAAAAAAAAGTGTTGTTAATTATATATACTATTTTAGGAATTTTTTTAAATGATTGGAAATTTTTATAATTATTATGATAGTATTAGTATTTTAATATTTATATGTATTTTTTGTTTTTTATGATTCTGACCTGTAATAGGAAACAAGAAAATTAAATTATTGCCAATCATCATGCATCAAAATTTTTTACCTTATAATAAAATTTTTTATTTTTAATACTGTAAATTGATTTCCTGCGAGCGAAGCGAGTTACGGTTACGTTAAGTTCAATATTAAACCAAAGCCACATGAATATATAATGTATATACCGTTAATTTTACCACAGATAAAATTAAAAATTTTCTTTATTTTAAATCATAAAATATGTCAAGGTGTATATGAAATACAGTTAATATTTTATTAAAATTTTTAATTTTTTCTTAAAAAAAAAAAAAAAAAAAAAAAAAATTTGCAATTGATTTATGTAACACACTATCGGGTGAGATCAAAAAGGAAAGTGAGATCACCGAAAAAATCTTTATTCTAAATATGGAATTATCACGACTAAATATCCCTATGATTTTCATACTGCGCATATTTATTTGTTACACTCCTTTACGCCATATCTGATATATATAAATTAAAAAAGGGGTAATAAAGAAGAAATTTTCTTCCTTTTAAAAGATTAAAAAATGTCGAAACTTAACAAAGATGTAATATCCCTAATATTAAAAGAATTATATGATATGAGAAATACACTTTATTCATGTCTTTTAGTTGACAGGACTTGGTATGAAATGACTGTACCAATTTTATGGAAGAATCCTTTTCGATTTCACTTAAAAGAAAAAGCACATATCATTATAATTAATGTAATACTTTCATATTTATCAGAAGAATCAAGAGTTAATTTGAGGAATCAAGGGATTGAACTTATAAATACATATCAACAACCTTTATTAAATTATATTAGTTTTTGGAGATATTTAAATTTATCTGTATTGGAAAAAATGATAGAAACTTTTGTAACTGATACAAATATTAATCAATCCAAAATTTCTATTATAGGATTAGAAATCATGAATATATTTAATAGGAATACAAAATTTTATTTTCTTTGCAATTATTCCCGCTATAACTTTACTTCGGGTACTGAACTTTGTTTCTCAGAACTTGGTTACCTTCGTTGTACTTCTACTCAAAACAGCAGCATCTTAGCAGGAAGATTGGCTATATTAAATACGTCAATTAAAAAATTGAATTTTGATATTTTATATTTTAGTACTCATAATTGTGGTATCACTAAATTAATTGAAGGTCAAAAAAACTTAAATGAAGTTATATTCAACAATCAATATCTGGTTACTCTTAAGGAATATATTGTCAGACCACTTGAAGAGGCACTAATTAAGTGTGCCGATACTATTCAATATTTGAAAATAGACTGGAAACCTGTCACAAATTTATTTTCACATCTTGTAAATTTAATAAGTTTAGAAATACACGCTTTTCGCCAGAAAAATTGGAATCATTTGAATCATTTGGAAAAGATATCTTTACCTCACTTAAAATATCTAAAAGCTCATTACGTCCCATCTAAAATTTTGGCAAGTCTAATTGAAAATACAATAGGAAATCTTATTGAAATAAGTATTATCTATGGTCAAAGTGATTATGATGAAGGAAGACTTATCCATGCAATTTATCAAAATTGTCCAAACCTTAATTATCTTAAATTATCATTATTTAGTGAGAATTTTTCAGAATTTGAAAATTTATTAATTAATTGTCAAATTTTAAATGGATTAGAAATTTTCTGTGTACATGATTATCAAATTAATTGGAAAATCTTATTTGAAATATTGACGAGGTCCACACCAATTAGTTTATTTAAATTTAAATTTATATATTCTATTTTTAATTCTTATTTGAATATTAATTTGGAATCTTTAAAATTATTTCTTGACAATTGGAAAGATAGAAGTTCTATGTTATTGCAAATCTTTTCATCGGGAGTTATGTTAAACGTGGAGCAGAAGCAACATCAGCTAAAATTAGAAGATCTTTTACAAAAATATAAAACAAAAGGGGTAATCAAAAATTATAACACTAATAATCTTGGAACTGAAGATTTTGAATGGATTCAATGTAAACTCCATACGTTATATGATTAAAGGAAGATTAGGGAATTTTAAAATAATTGATAGAAAATCACAATTTAATTACGGAAGATTAGAAAGTTCTTAATATATTTTTGAGCAAATTTATTTAGAATATTAGTTTGTAAAATAACTAGAGTTTTACCTAATTATGAAAGATCAGTATTTAAATCAATATTTTTGTCAAGATTGTCGCTATTGAGAAAAAGATTAATCCGCTGGATGAGGCGCAGTATTCATGATCTTTTTTGTTGGCAGTAGTAATTTTAATGTCTATTGTCTAATAAGTAGGTAAAAGTTATCTAAATTAAAAAATCTATGATTTATATATATAGGACTTTCGAGTATTAATATTTTTTCTAAAAAAAAAAATTTCAAATAACCGCAAGAAAAAAATTGTTTAACTCAAAAGAATCTTATTAAACTTTAAAATAATCTTTAGGTTTTAGATAAATTTATCTAGAATATGGTGGATAATAATAAACATATCATTACATTTTTGCAGAAACCCGTGATTTGTTACCATGCAGTTAAGAAATCGCCATCAAATCACAACGATCTATTATCTAACATGTGACGATGTGGTACCAAACGATCTTGTGAAATTGAATGCTATTAAATAGGTGGTAAATAGGTGATGAATAAGTGGTAAATAGATGGTAATTGTCATCAAAATTTAGCCGAAAAAATCAATTCAAGATATTTTTTCGATGCATTAAATATTACTTGACGATGAATCACAATTTTAATTATTTAATTATTTTTTTTTAAAAATCAATTTAACTTTAATAAATTATAAACAATATCATTTTGTAAAAATTAATAAGATATAAATAGACTAAACTTTTATAGACCTCAATACCCTATAAAAAATCTGTTACAATTCCATATGTTTAATACGTAATTCATTTTTAATTTATTTTTATTTTTTATTTTTAAATTTCAAGTGATCAAGATTACAGAAAGGTAGACAAGAACTAATATTAAATCAGCCAAACGCTACCCTAAACTACGCTGCAATCAAACCGCCCGTAGACCGTAATTCATTTTAATCTTTTTTAGATAATAATTTTATCTATCATAATACGCGATCACGTGATTGTTTTTTTTTTTGTGATACTTTTTTTTTTTATACAGTATATGATTTTGAGCTTCGTCACCCCTTTAAAAAATATTTATTTCCCACTCGCTACCTTTTTTTTTTAAAGAAAAAATTTCTTCTTTCTTCCTTTCATTTGTCTCCCCATTTATAAAAAAATTTTTTTCTAACTTTACTCATTGTCCTTTTCCTAACTTTGTTATCCTCCTTTTTAAAAAAAAATTTTTTATTCCCCTTTTTTAGGCTTTTTAAAATTCTTTTATTTTATATTTTATTCTTTTTTTTTGTCGGTTGATTTTTCTTTGTGAGTTCTTCTTCATGGGTCAGTTATTTTAACGTGAGTCAATTATTTTTATGTAGATTAATTCTTTTTCATGGGTCAATTCTTTTTCGTGGGTCAATTCTTTTTACGTGGGTTGTTTCTTTTCGTGGGTCAATTCTTTTCGTGGGTCAATTCTTTTTCATGGGTTAATTTTTTTCATGAGTTGTTTCTTTTTGTAAATTGTTTCTTTTTGTGGAATGCTTCAGCATGTTTTTCTTTTTTGTGGGTCGTTCTGTTACTCTTACTCCAAACTTTAAAAATGCCAACTCTTGGAGATTTGAATGATTACAGGGGAAGTTTGGCTCCTAATTGACATTCTTATGTTTCTTTTTTTTTGTTTTTTAGGTTTTTAGATACTAGAAGACTTGGATTAATCTAGACTTATAGGTAGTTAGGAGAAGTGGATTTAACTACTAGAAAATTTAAAGTTTCTTTTTGTTTAGTTTGCAATAGTTAGGAAAGAACTTTTCATAATATATTTGTATTTTATTTTATTTTTATATTTAATTTTATAATATAACTAGCAATAAACTGTAGCTTAAGTGGTAAATTTTGTGATAAAATTAGTAATCATCATAAATTCAGTGTCCTAATCATGTGAATTCTATATGTAACAAACCAATTTCTTAAATAATATTACGTTGTATTATTTTAATTGATATTTTTCTTAACACGTAACGATTAGCATAATAGTTTACTATAAATAGTTAACAATAGAATTGTTTTTGTAATAAATGTATTAATTACGTTATTATTTAATTTTTTTAATTAAAATATATTGATTTTTTTCCTTTAATTTCTTTAATTGAAAATATCTATATAGAAATTTATCGATATTGTGTGGCTTTATATTTTTATCTCCGACCTTTGATAATTGCATATTAGTTTACTAAGAATGGTTAAGTGATATTCTTAAACAAAAGAATTTTTTTTTTTTGTGATAATTTTGAACAAATGTTAAATTGTATTTTTTTTTCTTCAATCGAAAGTTAAATTTTAAACTATATTCAAAAGTTAAAGCTAAATTCAATTTAAGTTATATTACCCTTTCCTCTTCTCTCATTCTTCCCCTTCACTCCTTCTCGTTCTTCCAGCATTTTCTTTTATAATTTCAATAAATTATAAATTTAATAGTAATTATACCTTCAATGAGTTACAGTACGTTCAAAAAACTCTTTTAAAACCTTCTTAATAATAAATTACAGTCTGTAAATTAATTATATTACATAACACCTTCCCCTTCTCATTATCTCCTTTCCTCCTTCTCGTTCTTCCTTCTCTTTTCCCCTTCTCTTCTCATTCCTCCTCTTTTCCCTCCTTGTATTTTCCTTTCCCTACTTCTCATTCTTCCCCTTTCCCTCTCTTTTGTCCTTCCCTTTACTCCACTTGCCCTTGCCCTTCCCCTTTCCTTTTCTTTTTTAGGCGGCTCCCTGACTCTTTAAACATGGTATCTCGCTGAGTTTTGCATGTCTTTTTAATTTCTTTATTCCATTTTTTAAACAACTACTAAATTCTCTTTTTATTTCTTTTTCTTAGACCATGTTATTTCTTTGGCTCTTTTGCACGTGAGAATTCGGTAGGTGAAATTTTAATGAAATGTTTTACAAACGTTTCTTTTTTTAGGTCCAGCTTCGAAGGTATAATATCTTCAAATTTTTTCTTTGATTTTTTTAGCAAAACGTTTGCTAATGTTTTTGTTTTTATTTTTTAGATCCAGAACTCCGTTTTACTTCATTTCGAAGCAGACTACCATTTTTGAAGGTAAAACTTCAAATTTTTTTCTTTCAGGGGGTTTTTTTTAACAAAACGTTTTGCTAACATTTTCATTTTTTTTGTAGGTCAAAGAGACCCATTTCAAAGGCTGTACTCATTTTGAAGGTATAAGCTTTGAAAATGTTTTATTTTTTTTCATTTTTATGCAACGAAATATTAACTTTTTTTTTACTCCTTTATTAGTGAAAAAAAAACCATGTAACGTGGAACCATACCATATGCACAAAGCACTAGCACAAAGCACTGGACTTTCTAGCACGACATCAATAGAGTATCGATACTAAATACAAAATACATACAAAACAAAAATCTATATATGCAAACATAACTAACGCATGTGGCACTTATAATCCCCTTCTGAACTGACAGTTATCTTTTTAAACTATGAAACCACAATTATGCACAAAAATTGAGATCTCCGTTGAGTTTATTTTTTTTTTACAAACTCTACTAATAATGTATAAAATTTTGATTTTATTTACTTCATGAACTATTTTATGAATTAATTTATTAATAGTATATAAATAAAGATTTTACCAAATATTAGCCTTATATTAATCTTACAATAATTGCAAGCATGTATTTAATGATAACTTCTTGATTATCAAAAATTATTCATGTTTATTTTAGCCATGGATTTTTTAAATACCTAAATAATATACTATAAAAGTTTCAAGTTTCGCCCAAACATCTGTGGCTTCGCCCGAAGCTTCAAAGTCAAAATAAACTACCCTAGCGTTCCCCCAAAAAAAAGCACTGGTGGCCGGCATTATGCGGAATTATGCACTGTCACGTGAACAGTGCGGTGACAGATAAGGTGTGACGAATAAGTTTTTTCGACTCGAAAAAAACTAAGTCCCTCAGATAGTCAGATAAATATAAAC